TATGTTTTAGTTTGAAGTTTAGAGGAGCAAGTACTTCCATCCACCTAATTTGTCTTTCATTTAATACCTTCTTTCTTTCAAATGGCTCCAGGTTTTTATGGTCTGTAAGAATGGTAAAGGGCTTCTTTAGCCCTCTAAGCTCGCTATTCCATTCCTTGAAGCATTTAATGATGGCTAAGAGCTCCTTGTCATGAATATCATAATTGCACTCTGCTGGGAGATGTTTTGCTGAATAAAATGCAACTGGTCTCCATAGTTTTGATACTGGATCAAGTTGTGTTAAGGTACCACCAATAGCCCATCCTGATGAGTCGGGCTCTAATTTTGTCTCTAGATCTGGATTAAAAGTAGCTAGAACTGGTTCTTCCTTGAAAAGATTCTTGATATGTTGAAAGGAGTCCTCACAATCTTTTGTCCATTCAAACTTTTGATCCTTCCTGGTTAGATTTGTTAAAGGTCTGACAAGCTTTGCAAAGTCCTTGATGAAAAGCCTATAGTAATTTGCAAATCCTAGAAATGACCTTACCGATCTAACACTAGTAGGTGACTTCCATTCTGTTATTGCTTGCACCTTAGTTGGATCCATATTGATGCCAGTTCCTGCTTCTATCACATAGCCGAGATACTTAGTCTTTTTGGTCTCAAATTCGCACTTTGAGATATCTAAGTGTAACCAATTTTCCTGTAGGCTTGTTAGTACCTTAGCTACCTTCTCTCTATGGTCTTGAAGTGTTCCTGAGGTGAATATAAGAATATCATCCACGTAAGCTGAGCAGAAGTTTTCCAAATACTCTCTAAGGACCCAGTTTATATACCTCTGGAAGGTGGCAGGAGATCCAGTAAGTCCAAAAGGACAAACTTTCCACTCAAATAGGCCATATCTTGTCCTAAATGCTGTCTTCCATTCTTCACCTTTAGCCATTCTGATCCTATGAAAAGCAGCTGACACATCCAGCTTTGTGAGCCACTTAGCAGAGTTCAGAGCATTCAGAGTCTCTTTTATCAGAGGAAGAGGGTACCTGTCCTTCTTTGTGATTGCATTTATTCCTCTGTAGTCAACACAGAATCTTAGGCCACCTCCAGGCTTCTTTGCAAAAAGAACAGGTGCTGCAGCTGATGATTTACTTTGTTGAATAAAATCTTTTTCAAGTAGGCTAGTTAATTCCTTTCGAAGCACTAGAAGTTCATCATGACTCATGTTATAAAGCGGTCCCCATGGAACAGGTTTTTCATTTCCATTTTGATCTTTCTCTAAAGGTATCTCATGATCAATTCCGAGCCTATGAGGTGGTAGACTAGCTGCTTCTTTTGGATTAAAAACCTGAGCAAAAGACTTGTAAGAGTCAGGTAGCATAGAGGTAATTTCTTTAATAGAAAGCTGTATCTTTGGCCTGAGCGCTTTTTCTATGTCTGATAGTGAGGCGGCAAACACCTGCACTGTTTTGCTTTTCCTTGCTCTCTGTGCTAGGCCTGTGAAAGTTGAGGCCATAACTTGACTGACAGTAAATGCATGAGCTCCTAGTTCCTCATTTCTCATTTCTCTTTCTTCGTTGCTGATAAGTGTCAAGCCATGATGTTTGAATGTTAATTTAGAATTTATAGAGTCCAATTCAGCATGACAGTATTTTAACCAGGGCATACCAAGAATTAGATCCTCTGCTTGGTTTGGAATCACATAAGCCCAGGCCTTTTCGATTTTCAGGCCTCCAATATCTAGTTCGAAACAAGCTACTTGGTCAATTATGGCTGTCATGTTGCTTAAAACACCAGTAATAGCTCTTGGCTGTAAGGGAGAGTTGGTTAATTTTAATTTTTGTAATTGTTTTTTACTGATACTTGCAAAGGCTGACAATCCAGGATCAATAAGTGTGCACAGCTGGTTGGATCCATTGATTAATGCAGTAGTATGGAAAAGCTCACAGTCCATGTTAGGCTTAAATAAATTCCATTCTTTAGAAAGACTACTTTTACTGCAGAGTTCCTTCCCAGCTTTTGGCTCCTGTAAGTGACTTAGTACAGGAGCTCTTCTTTTCCCTCTCGTCCTTTCAATCCTTCGGGCTGTGCCATCCTGACTAATTCCACCTCTTCTTCCTCGGTGAGCTTTGCTAGATTTATGTTTGCTGGCTTTAAGGGTGGAAGATAGTTACAATTAGGGGCAATATGTCCTTTATGTCCACACCTCACACAGAGACCTTTTTTCTTCCTAAATGCAAGTACATCTTTTATAACCCATGATGCTCTTTGGTTTTTCTGGCCCTGGGTATTTGCTATAAAGGTAGATTTTGTTGGCTCCCAGTCCATTTTTGATGTGTTTGAGTTTTCCGAAGAGTTTTGCTGTCTAATCTTAGTTGCTGGCAGAGAGAATGGTGGATTAATTTGGTCTATTGCTTCTTTATCACTGTAAATAGTATGGACATAGGAAACAAATTCTGCCCATGTATTTTTTGATGAGCCGAGAAGCACTAGCTGGAGTTCTTTAGTGAGGGCATTCTTCAAGAGGGAGATTTTTTGACGATCAGAATAGGATGATCAGCCAGCATTTGCTAGCACTGTTTCAAACTTTGTGAGAAAATCTGGAAATGGTTCTTTCTCTTTTTGTTTCATTTGATAGAGCTCTCTCTCTGCCCTTGCTTTTTTGTTGGGATCTCCAAAGACTGTATTAAGATACTCCAAAAAGTCAACTCCTGTGCCTTCTCCATTTTCTGACAGGGTTCTTGCTGTTGCTGAGACCATCTTTATTGCATCACCATCTAGTCGTGAGTAGATGTACATGAACTGGTCAAAAGGAGAACCCAGGGCTACACTATCTCTTGAAAGCTTGTGGAGAGCTCCTAGGTGCCACTCATCCCACATAGTCCTATCTCCTTTAAATTTGTCAAGTTTTGGTAGCCTTTCTTGAGTATCTTTAGTCTGGGGCAAACCAATTGTTGCTGGTGTTGGCTCAAGGGTTGCGGGTTTTGACTGCCTTGCTTCTTTGAGAGCCTGAGTGGTAGAATTTGCATGCTGTTGGAGGTTATGTATTATCTTGCTCTGTTTTTTCATTTCCTGACTTTGCTGCTCAAGCTGCTGCTGAAGTTGCTTTAAAAAATCCAAAAGTTGTACATCCTTAGAGTCTTCTCCTGTGATATCCATGGGGGATGACATAGTTGCCAGTCTAGAATGAAATAATAATTGGTAGACAAATAAAAGGTAGCAGCCACAAAAGGGGATAAGTGATACAATTAATCAAACACCAAAAATATTTTGTGAGAGATCCAGTATAACAATACAACAACAGATAGAGGTAGATTTGGAAAGATACAGACTGTGCTTAATGTAGATTAAGATTATAAAAACAATGAGTTATAAGTTATAATGATGCATAAAAGAAAATAACTATAATGTTATCCCTAAATATGCTAATAATGTTAATGACTTTATAGTTAGTAGTACTATTATTATATAGTCAAAGAACTTAGGGATACTTATCATTAATCACTGAGGACAATAGCTTGATGTTATGTCAATGTCAATGAATTTCAATGAAAGGTGAGTTTAAGATAATGTAAGGGCTAGAAGTAGAATTGTATTCGAATTGTACTGTGTGCTGTGTATAGAAGATCTTAAACTAAAGAAAGAAGATGGAAGAGGAAAAGTCTTCCTTATATACATTGAAAGGTGGTCTGTGCTGTTACCAGACTATACCCAAAATAGAGCGACTAAACAGTCACCTGATTGGTAATAGCTCAGATCAGTAACCCAAGCCCAAGCCTTGGCTGCCTTAGGCTCTAGCCTATGACAACTGCTCTGACACGGCGCCTTTGATAAAAAAAAGTTAGTTGAATGCCTCTCAAAAGTGGAAGGGGCAATGTGACGGCTAGTGAGCCGATGAGATCCCTGTAGCCTGTGATATTCAGCACAGACATATTCATAGTGTCAGCGCTAAGTTGCGCTTGTATTGAAAGTCAGGAACTGCCCGTGTTTGAGACGCTGTTGGAAACTAGTGCACACCTTAATAATGGGGGCACGACTGGAGGGCAGAGACTAGTGTTTGAAATATTGAAATCATGTATATAAATAGGGCGTTGAGTGTAGCAGTAGCCTTGTTCTTCAGTTAGTAAATAAACTTACCTTTCAACATATGAACGCCCAAGCTTTATTTATTGGAACTGTTACACCTCAGACCCTTTGCTTGGAATCTGGTTCAAGAATGTCTCGCCATGACAACTAATGGGGGATTAATTGTGTGAATTCTACTCATTCCTGTCTTTATTGTAGTTGGAAGCACTACTTTTAACAGAGTTTAGTCTACAGCAGGTAATACTGAGGTTAAATAGTATGTCGATCTACACATTGAATGCCCTCCAGTATTCAGACTTCTTTTACTTCCTCTGCATTCACGAATCAAGAACCATGTCAACATAAGTTGTCATTTTTTTTTCAAGAACAATCAAGTATCTAAAATTATTTCATTTCCAAGCTTAAACTAATTTCCAAAGTCCAAAGAATCCTTTAAAAATCCTTTGAGCTACATGACTGACACGTCTTTTATGAAGATTTGTGATGGGGGTGAATGAATAGATATTCAGGTGAAGGATCCAGTTAAGGGAAGTCATGGTCCCACAGATTAACAATTTCAGCCAGAAGATTCAGGCGAGAAGATGAAGGGGGTTAATCTCCCCTGCTTGAGCCATTTATTTCATTTCCCATGATTCATTTTACCCATATGCAGTTTATGGACTTCTCTCGACAGGAATTAGGTATATTGATATGTACTTGCTATCTGCTATCTACTCCAAAGTGTAAAATCCAATAACTTCTAATCTACTCATCTCCCTTGGAGAGCTTGACCATCCTGTTCCATCATCAATTGTTCATTCTTTATATTCAGAGCTTCTCTCAATTGTAGGTTGAGATTTTCCAGACAATCTTTTCCAACAAAGTGTCCGCTGAGAAGAAATAATTGAACTTTCAAAACCCCCTGAGCTTGTCAAGCATAAGCAAAGACGCCCACGTTTACAATGAATCTCCAAACCACTACCCAGCTCATTGCACTCCTATCCATGTCATCAGCAGCTACTGCAACCTACAGCTATAATTGTTATGGTCAAGATATTTTGAGGGATGACATTCAACGTAGCCTCAATGGATTGGTAAATTCAGGTTCAAATCATCAGAAAACAGCCATAGAAAAATTTTACTGTGGAGAAAATAAGACTTGCTATGTTTCTCACATTACTCTAAGTAACTACAAAAATGCAAACGGTGAGCAAATTCACAGTCCATTTGGAATTTTAAGCAAATCATTTTCCAAGGATCCATCTCTCCATATTATTTGCTTGTGGATGACAATAACAAATTTTTAAGTGTTGTAATGTATTATGTGAAAAGCTACTATGAATGTGAGCAAAGCTGAAACAGCATCCAATATAAGGGAGAATTTTATTGATTACTTTATGTGACAAGATGCTGTGCAGAGCATGGCTAGATTGGAGGGTCAAAGAATGTCCGGAAAAAATTTTTTGCATATAAATTATCATTAGAAAGCTGGTCAGGCGCAGGGCGTGAAGTCAGGGCCGCAAAACTTTTGCTCGATATCTTTGAATTTAATAATTTAAAATTTTTACCAAATTCAGTCAGCAGTAGTGATTGAAGGGTTGGATGGCGCAGTGGCACACCAATTGAGCCCTTCTCCCAAGTAGACTCTGGGTAGATTGAACACTTACCCTATTTGAAACAAGAGAGAGATGGCTCGAATCCAGTAAGACCCACACACCACTCTCTCTTGCAGTGATATTTTTCTTGTGGGATGATGAAAGCCTACTCGGATAACCATAGGTTTGTCACGCTTTTCCCTGCGGCAGATATGCACAGAAGAGGTTATACGCCGAAAGGATTAACCTGGGTGGTATCTTCAAATGAAATCAGCGTGTGAGTATTCTAAATGTCAGATTGAGTCATCCTACTTAAAGTACATATCTTCCCATTAAACCTGCATGGTGTCACAATATGGGATAAATGTTAGATTGACAATGTCAGATCTGGTGAGTTAGATTGTCTACAAAGGAGAAGAGGATCTGTTGTTAGACTCTAACAAGTTATATATATTAAGAGGCACGTGTTAGGGTATGTCACATGATGAATATAAACGTCCTGTTCCATGACATATGGGTCACAAGGCGCCAAATCAGGACACTTGAATTAATTATTAATTAGCAATGGAAATGTGACGGGCTAGGACTTTTGGCCAATGCACGAAAGCAATGCTACAACAAAATGTTTAAATTTACGAGCGGGAAGCTACGGCTCTTTATAAATACCATGCCTGTTCTAGATCCCCTGGCCCTTTACATGTGATCTAATAATACTCCTGTATAGTGAGAAGATTTACAAACTCGCTTGAGCCTTCAAGATAAGGATGGGCCCTATAGCCTTAAACAGCCCAGCCATAACCAACCGGGCCTAGCCCGTAACAGGAAGTGAGTCCTCCGGAAGCACATACCTGTTCCAAGCGTCATGGGTACAGGGAACTAGCCTGATGCGTTAGATTGTTACGGGAATACTCCGTTGTGTGTGTATTGTCTGCGCCAGTACGGTAGAGACAAAATCTAGCGTCTAGTCAGCTATAGAGACTACCAGTGGCGTAGATAGGATATGGTTTCTTGAAAATGGAGACTGTTATGGTCGGCGTTGTTAAGAACAATCCCTTATGTAAATAGCAAGATGTAGAAGTTGTTAGACTCTACGAGTCAATTGAATAATGTAAGAAGTAAAAAGTGTCAATTAATTCCTGGCTGCTATTTCTATTTCTGTTACATTCTAGATTATTTACGTCCAGAAAATGGCAAATGTTCTATGTGTCCCCAACTTGTCCCCATGAACCAAGTTTCTCATGGTTTGGAACGAAACATCTCTAGTCAGAACAGCTAGAGTTCTTATTGCTACAGCCCAAGCGAAACACCTTTGTCCGTTACAAGTAACTCCAAGCTTTGCAAACCTAACACCTTAAACTCTAGATTGATCGCTCCAAAACTATCCACAGTTTGATAAAAGTCCTTCCGACTCAGGATTTCAATACCTGATTTTAATCCGGAATTACTCTGCTGTATACCAACACCAATTGATCCAGCTGTAACTGTTAGTAAAATACAGTATACGCGCGTAAATACAGGGCAATAAAATAGATTCAATGAAACGATACAATAATATTCACATATATATTCAATCTATCTATCCGTTCTGCCGGCGAAGACGAAAATATCACCTTCCATTGGTGCCGGTGTAATTGCCCAGTATGCTCTGCATATCTGGGATAGCCAAGTAAAATCGCAACCGAATCGAAGTCGAAAGCAAACACATGCATATCTCCATTTGACGACTTCTCAATCATGTAGCACTCACCATAATCTTCTGAGTCCTCAACCTCTTTCTAACCACACATCATCTCGCCTCGACGACCGATAAAGGCGTTACCCCAATTGCAAACAGGAGCTTGCCTCATTCATCACCCGCCATCACTCACTACAAATTTACGACGCTACGTATACCCGCAAGGAGGAAATTAAGTCATAATATACAAAGTTTGGGTCATGGTTTATGGGGGACTGCTGCTCTAATGGGGTTATACATCTTGAGGAAGGACAGGCGGCTGAGATGTGGAACTAGAGGGGAAAGAGGTCTCATAAGACTATGCTGAGACTGACATTCTCGAGAAATTTTCAGCATTGGATTTTTTGTGGGCGCCAAGACTGAGATTTCGGCTAACTAGCCAGGAGGGCTTCTTTTGTCGATGAGTCAGCGTCACTCCCCAGCGCCCTGGACGACACAAAAGAAGTTGGGCTAAGCTGCTATACAGCAATTACGCTCTGTCAGGACTTTTCTGACATTTCAGCACGACCTTCGGGAAAGAGGCTAGAAAGGCAGAGGGTGAATTTCCCGAGGTACCCACATTTCTGCAGCGCCCAGCTTGCCGGCCTCTTCGAACGCATCAGAAGAGTCAACATGTCTTCAGGTTTAGTCCTAATATTGGTACTGGAAGAGCTCCACACCCAGTGGTTTTTACGATTTTCCCGGCTACCATAGACCCGCAAAAGGCTATCGTTTCGTTGGCTAGAAGGAGGAGATAATGAAGGATAAAGGGCCACTCTAAATGTATGATCGAATGAGGATGTTGTAACGGCTGTTAAGCCTAGGGATTCCTGTAGCCTACGCTGGCTAGCGCAGGCAATGAATGCAAGGGAATCTTCGGGAAGGATCTCGGAATACAAGGAGCTTAGAAGATTCTTAATGAACTTTCTGGAAGCATACTGAAGGTTCATGAGGACAACAGGTGTATCAAGAATCTTCTAGGGTATTGTCGAGGATTCCATGTTATTCTAGATATAGGGAGAACCTTACAGAAGAGGAGTATCTCAGAGTGTATATATAATTGTAGTCTAGCTGTAGGAATTCTCTCTCTAGAGAATTATAATTAATATACTGTACCTACAAGATCGCTCAAGCATGTTGTACTGAAACCGTGACAGATGTTACGGGTTGACCGTGGTTTAGCTTAGGTGGAGACCTAAGCAGAGATTGGGGCGTATTAGGGAGAGTATTACATATTATCTTGTATCAAGCGACTAAGTTTCACTTGGCCACATTACATTGGAGCTAGGAAGGAATGTGAGACAGCGAAGTAGAATTGCCAAGTGATAGAGTCAGCTAGATGACAACGGGCAGTGGCGGAGCAATACGTCATTCTCACCAACAGAGTATGTACTGGATGAGCTAGAAGGATGTAAAAATAGTCATTACCCGTAGTTGCGGTACTTCTCTCTTCACATAGTTTAATCTTTCTAAAAGTACACTACGACCAGCTTGGTTTTGTCACAGAGGACTTGTGAGGGGTAGTACTGTTTGAGGGGAGCTGTATGGGAGGCACAGGAGGGGATATACTGCTGATATAGGTATCATTGGCCTGTAGGTAGAGAGGACCTGCATATCCTACATAGTCATTGACTCAGACGGGACAAGAAATTAAAAAAAAAAAAAAACAGCGCGGCCATGATGGGCGTACCATAGTCCGATTGCGGCAAGAACAGGCCACGGGAATTACGCCGACTACCACTGATGTTTCCACCCCGAACACAAAGGTCTAAAATGCGTTTGCAGTTGGGAGAAAATTGTCATGATCTAGGAGTAGCTTAACCCCAATTGGTGGAGAAGAGTATGCTAAGGATTGGTAAGGGTCATGGGTTCTAATTTAGTGTAGTCTGTCTTTTTTTTTTTTTTGCATCAGATTTTAATTGCGTATGCAGCTATCTAGCTATGACACAATATGAATAATAAGTACAGAATAGATGATTCAACGTAAAGGAAGAGCACTCATGCCTCGGATTTCATTTGCTAGTAGCTCTACAAAGTTATGGTGGCTTTTTCTTCACCATGGGGGACTGTTGTTATGCTCAGCTAAGGTAGCCCCGGCGGGCAGCGTGTCATAGGACATTAGTCACGTGCTATATGGACGCTAGGACAAATATTGATCCACTTTTATGTATTTACATTGTTTAGTGAATGGACCTATCCTTCTCTCTCTATAGATTACAATCATATTATTGTTTTGCCTTTAGTCAGAGCCTTCCCTGAACCTTATGCTATCACACAGCGCGTGGATGGTGAGTGTGTCATCACGATGTCTTGGGCATGGACAACTCACATGACATGTTTGGCACATTTGCTGAGTAAAGGCATGCTGAATGAGTAAGCATAGTAGGCATATGATTGGCAGGTAAACGAGTTGATGGGGTATAAAAGGAGAGGTTTTTCCACTGTAAATTAGAATCACACACATCCATAGAATCACTTAGATCACATCACCCACAACACAAATACATTAAGATAAGCAACTCTAACATTGCATACCCACAAATATCATCTTGAACTAGAGTCCGATTAATTCCAAATTCGTAGCAGTGCAATGGCTTCTGCCAGCGCATCGTCTTCATTGATGGCTGCCGACCCCAGCGCAACAATTCACCCAACTCTGATGGGTATTGCCAAGGCAATGCAAAAAGCAGAGCAACAAAGGAAAGAAAGACTGGATCTTGCCCAGGAATTCTTAGAAATAATCGATTCCTGGGCTAAAACCAAGGCAGGAACAGCAGCGTCGGCCACAGTGACGCCTTTTATTGAAAGTATAGCTACAATATTAACTTCATTTGCTATTGGAACAACACAGGCAAGTGAAACCCCCCTTAAGACCCACCAACCCTCGAAGAGCACGATAACAATAGAGGCTCCCAGGGTGACCAAAATACTTGCGCCACCTGATTGCCCGCTCCCAGCAAAGCCTCAAGTAGACAAGAATCCATGGGCAAAAGTAGCTCGTAGAGCTGCAAAGCTCCCAGATCCTCCAGCAGCTCCGCCTCATCGAAA